AAAATATCTTCAATATACACAAGACCCCACCAAAACTGTTTCAATAAATCATCATGTATTATTTTCTAGGTGCCTCCCTGCTCATCTTCTACGTGATCATGCTGTGCTTCTACTACCTTGGACCCAACCCAGGGGGGATCCACTGTTGAGGGGGTCTGCAACAACACCGTGAAATGAAGCACGATATTTATATTGGCATCACTGTACAGGGTTTAAGCAAAACCAGTTTGCCATTCTCCAGTTACAGACTGCACAAAACAAGAAATGGCACAACAACGCAGGTACATGAACGGACTCAAGTGAGGCCGTGATGGACGAATTGGAAGTATCTGCTTGCATACTAGCTTGTCTAGTAATAAGGGTTTCAGATAATTTTAGCGTACTGCAGTTTCTGACAATTCAAGAAAAATGTCAATAAAAATGTGTGGTATATATATATTTTTGCACCAGCCCAATATGTAAAGTATACATATAGTCTATAATAATAATAATAATAATGATGATGATAAATAATAATAACCACTTTTCTTGGTTTGGCAATATAAACCAGTGTCTGTGAGACAGTACAGTCACATTCACAAACTCTTATATTGGCATTTAAGAACGTTTTCTTGAAAGAAAATAAGAAAATAAAAAGCATACACCATAGATCATCCAAGAATTGCTGAAACAAGATTGCAACCCTTGGAACACTCAGCTATGGTGCATTGTACAACATGGAAAAACAAATGTAATGAAATTAGAAAACTGTTAGGAACAGGATAAGCTATCAAAATTGGTTGCGTGGAAGAAATGAAGTTAACATTTTAAACAGCAATGCATGAGCATTGCAAAATAAAAAAAAGAATATGCAATAAAAAACAAAGCATTTCTCTATTCACTGTGTACAAAGCCACACTCCTGGACTGCACTTTTTTGCCACTACGTTTGGAAAGTAAACCAACTGTTCATTGCGATTTTTTCACATATCTTACTTGCATTCAGAACACTATATATATATATTACTTACTTTTTCTCAACAAGCATCCTTCAAATATCATAAACATGGTGCCTTTAACAATTCATATATATATATATATATATATATATATATATATATATATATATATACTTCCACTTGGCCTTAAACCTCCCAATGGCATATTGCAGCATACTTCCATGACTAAACACCCAAACCAAAAATAGAGAAATGACTCATTACTGCAATACATCAGTATAAGAATCTCACATATTGTTTTCCACCGAGTACTACTAACAACAAATGTTAACAACTATAGTTTTAAAAAATTACCTTAAAATTTAAATATGAACAACTATGTGTACAGTTCCGTACATCTTCAACAGGTATCGTAACTCCTTTCTCGATACTAAATTACATAAATGTAAATTACATAAAATAAAACTACTTCAACTGCACTGGACAAAGAGTAGACTACAAGAAAAAAATTTCTGACCAAAACCCTTTTACACAGAGATTGCTATTGCTTGGGAGAACAAATGTGACCAAGTGTCACCACCTTGGAGAAGAGAGAGACAAAATCTGTTCACTAAGTGATCATGATCACAAGCCCAGTGTATCAGGGGCTTTCTAATGTAAAAAAAAAAAAATTGCACAAAATCAGAAGATAAGTTGCATGGTCCAAGCACCAGGAAATACCTTCACACACTGCATGTAATACAAGCCTTACCACTGTGCACTAATACAGTATCCATCTCCAAGGGGTTTCTCGCTAAATTGCCTTCAGCTTAAGCAGCTTAGAGGTCTGGCACACCTACTGCAGCTGTTTAGCGATAATTAATTACCCCCTTGCAGCTTCGGTAGGCATCACAGACATCTAAGCCACTTAAGCTGATTGCAATTTAGCGAGAAACTCCTCGGAGATAAATCGATCCACGATAGCGTCTGGGAATGGTCCCTTAAACATCTTTTAAGGATGTAGATAACAGGGGTAGCTATCTTCTAAACCGGCCAAGATATACCAACATGTTACATATCAATAGAAAGCTTATTTCAACAGCTCTTCATTTCATATCCTTATTTTATTATGTAATCGTTACGTAATGAGATATAATGCTTAATAGGTGTGCTCNAAGACAACTTGCTTTAGTTAAGTGCAAACACCCTTTAAGAAATTTTCCTGTATTACAATTCATTTTCAGGACATTCAGCAGCTGGGATTTTGCCACTCACCCTGAAGGCATCATTTATAACTTAAATGGGTAAGATTTATTCCCACTTCACTTACAGGGTTTTCTTCTCCATCTGAGACCTCAAGGTTGAAATAAACTTCAATTTACAGGGTGTTCCTTACCATTTCACTCCACAAAATATAACTCCACTGTGCTCACAGGGTGCTTCTCAACATTCAGCACTAAAGAACATATCGGTAGCTCCACTTCATTGCACTGCACTAATCGGGGCTCGATTCACCAATGCTTACAGGGGGTTCCACAGGTTTTAATTCGTCTACAGTTACTTGATGGCTGTCAGGATTTTGGTCACCCTCTCTGACTGTCTGTTTATTGAAACTCAATACACCAATATTCATAGGATGTTTATTAAGCACCGATGCTGAAGGATTCTCAGGTTTTTCTTGAGTTAATTCTGAGTCGTTCTGAGGGTGTTTTTCATTTCCTGACATCAATTCACTGGTAATGCAATCCTCAGGGTAAAACTCAACATGTATTTGATTTGCAGAGTGCCCTTTAATATTGAACTCCACTTCATCTACAGGGTGTTCTTCAGCAGCTGGCCTCACTTCATCCACAGCATGCTCTTCAGCATGTAATCCCACCTCAACTGCAGTGTGTTCTTCAGCATTTGGTTCTACCAGAGATGCAGGGTATTTTTCAGCAATTAATTCCCCTTGATTCTCAGGGCACACCAAACTATCTTGTCCCACATTATTACTTGTAGTATCAGCAGGATGCATCTCTGCAGGATTTAATTCTACTGCAGACAGAGGGTATTCTATAAACTCCATACTGCCTTCATCCTTGTGGTACTCCAAAGGTGTATTATTCACTCCACCCTCCCACTGCTGTTCTGGATGTAAAGACATTTCATTTGCGAGCTGTTCGTCTGCTGTAATTTCCATCTTTTCAACCAAGTTTCCATAATTTTTTAATTCCACATAATTTCCAACACCTTCAAAATGACTGAACTCTCCATCATTCTCCTGTTTTACTTCTACCTCCACAAACACTGGCTCTGGAAGAAAATCTTGGTCCAAAGGTTCTGTTTTAATCACACACACCCTAGAACCTAAGTTCTCTCCCTCTTTCTCTCTTAAAGTTGACATAAGGACGGTCTGGTTGGTGCTTTGTTGGTTCTTATCTTTGGGGCTCTCTGAAGGTTTGTTGGCTGCTGGTTTAATTTTGGTCTTACGTGCTGGTTTTGTTCTGGAAACAGGCTGCGCTGGGGGTGATTTAGTACAGTTTCTGTTCCTGGGTGAGACACTTGACCTGTCTTTAGTTCTCAGCTTATCTATCACAGTGTCCAATGTTAATTTTCTTTGCTTTGGTTTAGCACCTTTTTTCTGTCTGGGCAATGCAGCAGAGCTGTCTTTTAACTCCAGCCTTTCCTGTCTTTTCTTTGACTTATTACATTGATCTTTCAAAGTTTTGAGACTGGACTTTTTTCTCCTATTAGATGGTGAATTCTCTGCTGTCTGGCTCGCTATTTTATTGACAGGCCTAAAAGCTCCAATTTTTGCAGCTGTTTTCTTGCAAGTAGTCTTCTGTTTTTCTTGCTTTTCTGTTCTATTTTTACATGTTACTTTTCTTTTTACTGAGCTGACAGTGCCCCTGTTTATATCCTGGTAACCATCTATCACAGTATCACTTAATCTAGGAACAGTAACAGTCACACACTTCAATTCTCTTTTGGCTAACATCAGTTTCTCATGACCTTGGCCCTTTTTTGGGACACGGTCTTGACCTCTTTTCAATACCTTACTTGACTTTAGCTTACTTTTTGATTCACTTGCATGAAAACTACTGTTGGTCAGGGAGGCATCAGTGATTTCTTGTTGACATTTGTGGTTTTTCCACCCATTCCTGCTTTTGAAGCCCATGTCACATTTGTCACATTGAAACTGGTACGTGTCTTCATGTGACCGCAAGTGGTACTGGTAGCTGTTGGAGTATTTAAATGTCTTCCCACACCTTTAAAAAACAAAAAAAATAGAATTTTAAAAACATAATGCAACCTTGAAACTTTATAACTCTATGCACTTTACCCAAACAGCAATCCAATTTCCATTAAATTTTGTAAATTTATAATTTGTATGTTAATGGCTGAAAAACATCTTATCTTCTTACCTGGCACAGGTGTAGTAAGTTTTACTGGAGTGAGTCTTGCTGTGACGTCGCAGGTTTGAGATTGCCCTGAACCCTGTGCCGCAGATCTCACAGACATGCGGCTTGTCCCCGCTGTGGACATTCTGGTGGTCCTTCAGGTATGTCCTTGATGCAAAGGACTTATTACAAATAGAACACTGGTAGAGTTTCTCCCCAGTGTGAGTGCGCTGGTGGGTAAGTAGACCACCCTTGAGGCGAAACTTTTTATTGCACTTGTCACATGAATAATTACGCACCCCCGTGTGAGACTGCTCGTGCATGCGCAGCTGCCAACCCTGCACGAATCTGCTCCCACACTGCTTACACTCGTACGGCTTTTCACCAGTGTGTGTTCTCACATGACGAGTTAAATCAGAAGATGTCCTAAACTGTTTTTGACAAAATTCGCACATGTAAGGTTTTTCTCCGCTGTGATGCAGCAAGTGCAGCTTAAGACTGGAGTAGTCCGTGAAGCGCCTGTCGCACAGATCACACTTGTACGGCTTGCTGCCCGTGTGGATGCGCATGTGACGATGCATGTTGGGTTTGTTGTTGAACTTCTTATGGCACACGCTGCACTGATGTGGTCTCTCTCCTGTGTGGGTTAAGTTGTGTTGCTTCAAACTGCCCAGGTCTGAGAAATACTTGTCACAGCAGACGCACTGATAAGGACGCACACCTGAAAGTGACAAGTTACGGCAGATAATTGTAATACCTATAATATAACAGTGAAAACTGATATTAAATTTACACTTAATGAAGAGTGACTTTTATGTAGATACATCTCTACAAAATTGTGACTGTATGTCTATTGGCAATATGAAAGCAATAAATAGAAAAACAAGGCAGCAAAGCTGTCAAATGTACAGACAAATGCATAAATATAAAATATTTTCAAAACTTGTTATGTTTAACTTAATAACCACAAAATAATTGTAACATGCACCATAATTAATCATCTCCAAGCCTAATGACTTATATATAAATGCTACACATATTCCGAGTGTGTAATAACCTTACCATTATGGACACAGCGTATGTGTCTTTCAACTGTAGTTTTTGCTGTGAATGTTTTTTCACACATGGAACACTGGAAAGGTTTGGTACCTATCACAACAAAGATAACATGTCTGTTACAAAAAAACTCAGTAGTCATGATACATTGTTAATGACAATTGTTTGTGTGCAATAAAAACTGCCATAAAAAAAATGATGGCAAAAATATTGTAGACCATCAGAACAGTCCCAGAAAACAAATATGAAGGTTGTGTCAAAGTTTATCATAAAATTCACAAAAGACATTATACATGATACTAAATTAATTATTATCTAAATTTTAGAAAATTACACCCACCTGAGTGAGTTGTCTGATGGACTCGTAGGTGACTTTGTTTGTTAGTTGAATACTGACACAGGTCACAGTGGAATTTTCTTATATGATAACTGGAGACTGGCTTGTCTTGGACATCACTGTCTGTAGTGCCATCTGGGGATTCCACTTTAAGAGTAACTGCAACAAAAGTTAAATTAAAAAAAAGGAAATGCAGGGATGGATCCAGAGATATTTTCTGACAGTCTTCCTAATTATCTTTGTTTATCCCTCCTTCATTTTTGACCGTTTTCCAACAGAAAAAATTGGATACCCGACAATGTAAACTTGAAAATCTGACCGTCTTCCAGAAGACCCAGAAGACGGCCTCAATCCGCCCCTGAAATGTGCCTGTGAGTCACACATGAAAGCACAAGAAGCTACACCATAGGGAGATATCATTTAAAATATAAATAAATAATATAATCTTGAGCCAAAGTATAAGTCTAGTGAAAGTGAAAATAAACAAAATATGTCTACAGTAAAGAGTTGGCAACTCTAGCACTATCACACAAAACAGGAATCTTCAAATATGTTTGTAATGCTGGATTTATCCATCTGTAAAATTTTCCAGAGAGCTAAAAAAAAAAGGACTTACGTTCTGCCTCATACTCACTTTGTCTACTCATGTCAGTTTCTAAATCCTTCACCTCTGCCTCTGGTAATTCTTGCTTTACTACCAGGAGAACAGTGCTGTCATCCAGAGCTTTGGCTGAAATAAAATAAATTGATGTTTTGAAAGTAGTAATTCTATCCCTCTGTATTTACAAATATTAGTACATGCATTACTGCACTGTACAGCACTGGTAGAGGTACAATAAAGTACATTGTACTTACACTAATGACTCTAAAGTAAATTATCAGTTCATAATCTACAATTAAAGGGTCTTTCTAACACATTATACCTTGATTATGATGTGTGAAATGTACATGTTAATATTTCAAGTTGTTAACCAGAAAATCAAAAGGGGTGTAAATACATGGCTGAGATTTATAATTATTTAACATGCTTTGACTGGTTTTAATTTACTGTACATACTGTACATAACTAGAGGATCAGAGAGGCGA